AGCCGAAGGTTGGTCCTGCCAGTTTTTTAGTGCCAGCGATCCTATCCATGAAGTGTAGCCGAGGGGAGCCACAAGCTCGTGTGGCTTGCCTGTTGCCGGCTTGTCAAGAGAGGAATGTCATGAAAAGGAGTTTTTTGCATGCACCAATGAGTGTGAGATATGAGAATATATGAGAGTAACGATGACAGATAACAGCGTGCATCAGGATACAATAAGGATCTCACAATGCATCCAGCTTGCAACACAGATGAGACATAGACAGTGGACCATTCGCGCCCATAGAGGTAGGAGGTATATTAATTACCAAAGGCTGAACTTGGACTTCCTTGGCTCAACGTTCTTCAACCCGAAAAATGGCCTGTGTTGAGTCCAAGATGTCTTTTCCATGGCCAGAAAGTATGTCATGTTTAGCTTTATAGGCACATGCTTTACTGGACTCAGTCACGCTGGTTGAACAAAAATCCCCACCACAACTCAATTAACCGTGTTACATCCTTGGTTCATTTCTTCGTACTTGAATCTCTGCACATTTGACCAACAAAAAACTTGTTAGCGATGCCCTGACTGTGTCTCATACAACTTTTATTTGCCATTTCCATCCGTTGCAGTGACATCAGCCAGAACAACCTCACTGGCCAACTCCCACCAGCAATAGGAAGTCTCACTAATCTTACGTACCTGTAAGGCATTCTAGCATGCTCAAGTGTTGCAATGTCCATCATAGCAGCCTTGGAGCGTTTCATGAAGAGGAGGTATACAAGGTGCTCCAGTGGTGTACCATAGCCAAAGAGTGTTTAAGGCCACAGGCAGGAGGTACACAAGGACCTAACTTGGACTGGCCCAACCCAAACCTCCACGTCAGGCCGTCTTCAAAAGGCGGTTATATGCAAATGTATGGTTCATCATTGTTTTCAGCCTGTATAACACCTTGGCATAGTAGAGTATTGCAATGTGTTCCATACAACTCCAATAGCAACCTCAGAGCGTTCCACTTCGAGCTGAAACCCTTTTCCGATTCTTTGTTTTATAAATGCTCCACGTGCACATGCAGGAACATGTCTTCGACTGCAATCACATGCCCTCCTGACTACAGAAGCTGCGTGGTCCCACAGACCACTTCAAGTGCTTTCTGCAGCCAGTGCGGCTCCTTCTGCACCACATGTGACAAGCCACCACCAGGTGAGACGCTTCTTACGCAGGTAGCTGCAATTTGTATTGCCTATTCTTACATTGCTCTCATGCCAAGTGCATGAACACCACATTGCCACCCATTCAACAAGCTTTTTCAGTGTCAGATTTTTTTTTCCAGGTATCAGGAACCCATAGAACAATATTTCCTAGTGTCACGCATCACGCATCCTCACGCATCCGCATCCTGTTGCATGCCTTTGCTTGGCTTTTAATGAAGAGTACCCATTTAAACCCGTCAATGCCTCTCTTTGCTACCGCTCACTGTGCAAAATGTGCCTGATGCCACATCCACTTTCACCAAGCCCACCGTCATCCCCATGTCTGATTTCCCTTTCCCTTCCCTTTCTTCATCTTCCGATCCCATTATTGTATTGTCCCCATCGACAGTGCCAAAACCTTCTCCATCACCAGCGCCAGCACCCTCACCAGCGCCAGCACCCTCACCATCGCCAGTGATAGCACCCTCCTCATCGCCAGCGCCAGCACCTTCTCCATCACCAGCGCCAGCACCCTCACCATCGCCAGTGACAGCACCCTCCTCATCGCCAGCGCCAGCACCTTCTCCACCTCCTCCCACTTCAGCTCCTAATGCACCCTCCGCCTCTCCCTCCAAAGGAGGGGCGGTTTATTCAGCGAAGCCATGGCTGGGATTGCTGCTGCTGGCACTGTGGCTGTCCTTGTGTTGCTGCTGCTGCTGAGCTGGCCGCTGTGCCAGCAATGCTGCACCAACGAGGTAGCAGGAGGAGGGGATGGTGACGGCAATATTGGAATAGGCTAGAGTTCACTCTCATGATTATCATTGTGTTATCTTATTAGAGCAAGTTACACTTCAGGTTTCAGTTAAGTTTAGGTTCAACTCATAGGTTTCACCTTTGATAACACATCATAACTGTAAGACAAACTTGGGTTAGCATTGACACTTGCCACAGGCAGGCTGGCCTGGTTCAGAAGAGGCCTGGCACAAACAACAATAGATAATTCACCACATAAATACAAAGTCCTACAACACACCAACACGCAGAGACAAATTAAGCAAAAGCAAGGCAAACAGAAGAATTACTAAAGAGCATGGGGCGACCTGGGATGTGTTGATATGGAATTTGAGTACCCTCCCATGATCGTGGTGCCAGGGTACCAGGAAGGGGAGGCATAGGAAGAAGGACACAGCAGAGGAGGAGCGGGTGAAAGGACACAGCGTAGGAAAGGCTCGTGAAAAGCAGACCAGGAGGGGGCCGGGGGGCGGAGGTCTTGGGGACTGTGACAAGCTAGTCGGCCAACACTAAAGGGCAGTTCTCACCACCAGGGCCAAGGAGGGAGAAGGGGCAGTGGCGAAGATTCACAGAAGGGCAGAGAGAGGAGTCGGGGCGACGGGGTCATGGCTCTGTTGCTCCGGGCCACCTGCTCCTCCAATCTGGCTCAGCCTCAGCCAGCGCTAGCTCGGTGCAGCTTCGGTTTGTCAAGGTTGTGTCCGTCCTTCAGAAGAACAGGTTGTGTGCTTGGCAGTAGGGAGGGAGGGTCGCTTCTGCTGCTGCAGGACCACGGGGAGGGTCACAGGTGCCAATGAAGCAGCAGGAGGGCCGATGGTGAGGAGGTGTGAACGTTGATCAAGCTCAGTTATTACGTTATTAGGTACATTGGAGCAATTAGGCCAAGTGTCGGTCTGTTGTGTTAATGAGAAGTTTACAGACAGGCAAATGAGTACTTTGGGAACAGGCATTGCAACTACTTAAAAGGCCTGTCACTGCTGCCTACTCCCCCACCACGGCTCTCCCCCATACCTCCCCTCCTCCCTCCCGTTCTCCCTCCCCCTCCTCCATCATTCCCACCCAATCCTCCCTCCCGCTCCTCCTCTCTCCTCCCGCTCTACCCCCTATCCTCCCTCCCTCTCCACCCTCTCTCCTCCTTTCGATTCCATCCCCTTCCTCCCTCCCGTTTCTCAGCGCCTCCTTTTCACCCCACCCCCTTAACGCCCCTTCCTCTGACTCCCACCCCTTCCCCCCTCCCACCCCTCCCATTTTGGTTTCATCCCCGTCCTTTCTCACCTGCACACAGTATCCTATCCATCCTCCTACAGGGATTACGAGACGATGGCCGAAGGGGTAATGGTCTGATGGAAAGATGGGTAATAGGCTGATGGGTTGACAGGAAGATCGTGTGCTGATGTGATGGGACGATTGTGTGATGGTGTGATGTGATGGTGAGATCAAGGGACTTCAATGGGTCAGTCAGTCAGCCATGGGTCAGTCAGCCAGCCATGGGTCAGTCAGTCAGCCATGGGTCAGTCAGTCAGCCATGGGTAAGTCTGTCAGCCATGGGTTAGTCAGTCAGCCATGGGTCAGTAAGTCAGGCACGGGTCAGTCAGTTAACCATGAATCAATCAGTCAACCATGGGTCAGTCAGCCAGCCATGGGTCGATAAGTCAGCAATGGTTGGTGCGGTTGATGGGTCGATGAGTGAGCAATGGGGTTCATGGGTGCAAGTCCCTTCTTTTTTCACCCAAGTCCTTTTTTCTTTGTACATACCATAGGGTCCTTATCGCCACTGGATTACGATTTTACGCTCCCCACTCTCTCTCAAAACCCCTTATACTCACGCTTTTGTCGCCAGCTTTCATTCCTCTCAAGAGACTCTTCCTCTACCGCATCTGACATGGCATTGCATATGAAAGGGCTGTGAAGAAATCAAACCCTTTGTTGCCCATGTGTAGCAGATGACAAGGCACTGAACAGAAGTGGATTTTGTCTGGATCAGGGTTGGCTGATCCATCAGCTGAAGCTGGGAGTTCAGCGATTTCCACCCATAAAGTTTAAAGATTCAGTGTTCACTGTAATATTTAAGCTGATGATTCAGCCTAGGTACATAATCTAATGGTGTGTTTTAGCAAATAGGAAATTACAAGTTACATGTTTGACTTACACTTGAAATGTCGAATTCAAGAAGTGTATTGACAGCATTGCAGGGTCACGCGTAAAACCTGAGGTAACTGGCCATGATCGATGATCGAGTGGTGGAGGGTGGAGGGGGTTGGATGGCACAGCTGGAGCCAGCTCGCGTGCAGGGGGCTCGGAGCCTGGTAGCACTACCAAGCCCGCTACCGAGGGCAAAACGACCCTACCGGGCCAAATTTGTCGGTTGGGTGGGGGATGGTGGAAGGAGGGATGTGGGGGGTAAAAAGGGGGGAGGAGGGGGGGGGGGGGGGGGTGGGGGGGCGGAGAGGATGGGGTGGTGGGGATGCAACGCAATCTTGTAATTTGAGGGGGGATGAGAGTCTCGCTATGTGCAAAATCAGTTCTGAACACTGGTTTCAGTCTGAGAGTGAAAAAAATCTGGAAACTCAGAAAAGCTACACAAAAAGAAGTCCAAAAGTTCAGCCAAACCAGGGGAACAAAGGCTGCCAACTCAGCCTAGCTAGGTGAAAAACCCTTGAAAAAAGGTTGAATCGGCGTATAATCGCTGCACTCTAGGGATCTGGTCCGGATGCACAGGATACAGGGAGAGAGCATGTGATGCTTTGCGGGTTAGATATGTGGAATGGAAAAGGATTTGCTACGGTATATCATATTACCGTCATCGCCCGGATAGCAGACAGTGTTGAATAATAGACAGGGGTTGTCTATTATCCGGTTGTCTCTTATAAACAGGCTAGCCTCATTATAAGACACCGATTTGTGTGTACGAGATAAGACATATATGTCTTATAATCAGATTAGGGGTTTCGGGGTTTTCTTGTAAACAGGGGGTGTCTTCTAAACGATCACTAGTTCCTTTAGGGGGTATATGCATGTACGTCTATGAATATCTACTTCTACCTAGCCCTCCTCAGTCATGGCCTCCTCCCCTGCACTAACAGCAGGGTCAACACCCAAGTCTGGCACTCGCCAGGCATGCCTGGCCGTCTCCCTAGGATCGATCATGCGGTCAACCTCAGCCACCGCTCCGCGGTAATTGGGGGTCTCCTGGTACAGCACCTCCAGGCTGGTTGCCACGGCCACCTCCTTCACACCCTCCGCCTCCATCTCCTCCTCCTCCTCTGGCGCCTGCCCAAGCAGGCGCGTGTTGTCGCCCGTGGTTCCCCCAAGGCTCATGTCCTCGGAGACATTGACAGTGCTCCTGGCACGCAGGTGAGACATCACCAGGTGGTTTTCCGTCCCGTCCAGCTTGCTTGAAATTCCACAGTGGCGGAACGCGTCAATGATGACGTGCTTGGGGACTTGATCCCACGCCTCTACGATCCACTGCAGCACCACGAGGTGCGGAGGCCTCCGGAGGTTCCCTGCGTGTGGGACAAAGGCATGGGTAGCGAGCCGTTAGAGACATGGAAAGAAAACAGAGCAGAAGTTGAATTCACATAACTACTCACCCTTCTTCGTCTTGCGCAGCCGATCAAGCCTTGCACGGTCAACATGCTACTCGGCCGCATCAAGGCCCTTCAGATGGCGGCCAAGATAGAGGCGACCCTGTACAAGGAGAAGGAGCTGCACATCATGCAGGACATCTCGGTCATCCGCACGGAAGTGCGCGTCATGGTTCGCGGAAAGAACAAAGCCGGCACCAAGTAAGATGTTTTAACATCGCCGACTTTGCCAGTCCACTCTAGTATTCCCGCCAATGCTCACCGGCGCTGCTCACACTCAATCATCACCCTCGCACTCTCCTCTTCTGCAGAAAATATGTCGACCGACATCGCGGAACCATCGGCGACACTTACACCACCGAGCAGTTCCGCAGAATCATGTTCAAAGTGTTGCCGCACTGGTCGGCGACGGCGTGGAATCCGGGGGGAACAGGTCCTTCCCAGACTCTGTGGAAGTTCATGCTTATGAGAGCGATGACCCTGCTATCGCACCACACTCTGCTCCGCGGTGCCAGCGTACGCGAGATCACGCTCGCCGACATCTTTCTGTACCGCCTTGCTAGCGGGCCGTCGGTGAACCTTGACAACCGGCCAATGGTCATGGTCATCGCGCAGCGCTACTTGAAGATGTGCAAGGACGCCCGTCTTCATCACAGCTACGCGGCGAGGCACTTAGAGGCGGAACTGTGTGTTGTGGGCGATACAATCCTCTGGCTGCACTTCATCTACGACCAGGTCCCCCAGATCTTCGGCGTCCGCATAATTCCGCCGTTGGACGTACGCCGACCGGAGCTCTGGTACGACAAGCATCTCTTCTTTGCCCGCTACGACAAGGATCAGGGTTTGCTGCCGTCGTCGAGCCAGCAACGAATCACTCGGCAGCTGTGGACGGCCAACAAGGTTTTCATCAAGCGCAACGGGCACGCCGCTGGTGCCGGCGGGGCACAAGAGCTGGCTGACCAAGGCACGCCGCGCGCTGAGATAGCCGAATTGGGTCACTGGGCTATTGACAAGATGACTAGGAGTTACATCACTTCAATTCCAGTCAAGGTGGTGATGAGGAAGGCCGGCTACTCCGGAGCCCGAAGCGACTACTTCCTGGGCCGCAGCAGGCTACCTCCCAGCGCAGACCTCGAAAAAACCATCGCCGTGCACATATTTCCCGGCGTCGAGGAACAGTTGGGGGCGGTGAGTGTAGCGACGCCGCCCTCATGCACCAGTTGGATACCTACTTTGTGTCAGTGTATGATATAGTAATTGGCGGTAGTGTGTGGACATAATTGGCGACGGTGTGTTGTGTAGCATGGGGGGTTTGATGTGTGCGATGTTCTGGTGTGTTGCGACATTGAATAAATCACTTGTAAGCGCGCATATTTGTGTATCACTTTTGCTTCCCCAAGTACCCTGCCCTCTCTATTGCTCCAATATCATCTTGAGCTGAGGGACACGAAAAGGGTGCCACGCAGCAGCAATAGCTAACTTTGAGTGGTAGGAGTGGTGGAGGTGCAGTGAGAGGGTGCAGTTACGATAACCTCTGTTTATGGATATTTCATATTCCATTACAGTTTCCAGACATTCTCCGGTTAAGTGGAGGGTGTGCAGCCCATCAATGCATTTTGGTCAGCTGTGGCGAGACACAACACACAGCGACCTCACTGGTGGAGAGGGCGAGGCGTGCACCTGAGATGCGAATCTGCATTGCCTGCTTCCCTCTGGCATTCCACAGCATCACCTCCTCCCACCTTTGCTGCCGCGCCGCCTGCTGCCATCCCACCAGCAGGTGCTGTTGGAAGGAAAAATATTATGGATGGACTCTGGGTGGGCAATGCAGCAGCAACATGCATGTCCTCTACCAACGGCCCAACTCATTCTACTAATCTGCCCACCATCTCGTGCATCATTCCTCCCCCCATACCCCGCCTTTGTCAATTGATTCCAACCAGACTTATGCATGCATAATTCTCATGTGTAAAGTTGCAAACCCTACACTACAGATAACGTATAAACAGCACATGTCCCTCATGCACTGTTCAAAATGTATCGATAGGTCAATTGTGACTCAATTACGGTACTGGTGTAAATGATTGAGGGGTTCTATTGAAGCATTAGTGAAGGGACAAGAATCGTGTTGTGCCACCAACTTCCATACTCCTGTGTGTATTGTTATCCCTGTTTTCCACACCCTTGCCTCCACACCGCGCCCCTTGTCAGTATCTCTATGATTCTCACAGTCCACCCTGCCAGTCGCGGTCCACCCTGCCAGTCACAGCACCCTACTCTAGGCTGTGAACAAGCAAGGCCTTGCCACCAGACACAGGCCCAGTTCTTTTTTATTTGCCTCTGCCCTCACCTCACCTCCCTTTCCATCATCTCTCCTTGCCACCAGACCAGCCTATCCGTTGGTGAACCTCGTCGTTTCGAAGGTACGGTAATCTTCTTCTGGCGTCCAGAGACCTACCAACTTGGTCAGGGCAGTCAGCTGCTGCAGCCCATCATCTGTGACTGCCGTCCCACCCAACCAAAGTTCCTCAAGACCTGTCAGCCTCCCCACATTCACCATGCTAGCATTTGTCACACCCATGCATTCGGTAAGGCTCAGCAGTTGGAGTGACGAGAGACCTGTCAAGTGCAATAGACCGGCATCAGTCACCTTGGTAAACGAGAGCAAGAGCTGCTTGAGGGTGGTCAAAGACCCAATGCCTTCCAAGGCAGAGTCTAAGACGTCCGATTTGCTGAAGTTGAGCTTCTCCAACCGTTGCAGTCTGTAGAGGTGCTTGATGCCCTCTGCACTGGCACAAGAGCTAGAGGACAAGTCAACGCTCTTCAGATGTGTCATTGTGGACACATGGCCGAGCATGGCGTCTGAGAGGCTGTGAAGGTACTGGAGGTTCAGCATGGGTATGTGACTCGTTGATGCTGAATCGATTGCCTGGGGGAAATGGGCGAAGAGGGAAAACATGACAAAGGAATGGATGACCACGGTAGTAAGAAGGAAGTAGCAAGCAATGCATGCCCTCACTTGAGAAACAGGTTCACTCAGCACTCACCAGCCATGCAGTCTTGTGATCGCCTTCACTCTGGCGAATTTTCAGGTCTTGTGTCATCTGCCGGTCCTTACAGGCTGTCAAACCTTCAGAATCACGTGGCCAACACAACTCCTGCACCTCCGCCCCCTCATCTTCCCGTGCAAACTCCAATCTCATATCTTGCGTTCTCTTTCTACTCTTCCCTCCCACCCCGCATACATCCAGTGACCTATTACTACTCTCAGCCCATAGCTCCTTGTGTCTTGCCAACTCCCCTCTCACTGCTGCCAATTCCTCCTTAACCGCTGCCAACCCCCCCTTCACTGCTGTCAGCATGTGCCGCAGCTCATCCACCTCCTCCTTGTGTGCAGCCAGCTCCTCTCTCACTGCTGCCAGCACCACCTCTCTGACCAACTCATTGACTGCAGTCGTCACTCTCTCAGCAGCCATAGTATGCATTCACTCCCCTACGACCCTTGCTAGTGACTGCCGACTGCGAAAGCGGACAAACCACGGTAGAGCAGGAGTGAGTTTCTTGCGACGGAAGAGGGAAGGTAAACAGAAAATTGGAACAAGGGGCGTGGTCAGTACACGCACAAACGATACCAATTACTACACAGGAATGGGGGATGAGGCAGTGATGTGAGTAAGACAGCAGGTACGGAGCAGAGGAAGAGGGACTTGACAACCAGATGTGGGAGACTGGGTTGAGCACATGTCTGTATCAAGTAGTGAGAGGAGAAGCTTATCCACACTCATCCATTGCAGTAGAACAAGCCGGGGAAGGCCAGGAGGAGAAAGTGAAGACAAGATTTCAGGAGAGGCAAGACATAGCAGCAGGGACTGCTGGAAGGAACACCGTAAAAATTGCAGCAAGGCAAGGCAGGATAAGATATGTAGGATGAAATCGCAGAAATAGGTAAAGTTTTGCCGAAAGAGTGAAACGGAATAACAACAACAACGAGACAATGGGAGGAACCAGAGAAGACAGAGAACGGCAGAGAGGGCTGGTGTTGTGGCGAAAGTCAGATGTGAGCTGAACGAGCAGAGCAGCAACGAAGTCCGAGGTAGAGCGGTTGTAACAATATGGCGGTTATTGAAAGGCAACTGTCAAGTACGGAAAGAAGAGCGGAAATAAAGGAAGACTGGAAAAGCAAAGTCAGACAGAGGTCTTACCTGCTTCTAGGTCTTTAGCGTATTCAATGTGTCTTGCACCACAACCTGAAATCGATGCAAGTAAGGAGGGTCGCAAGTAGAAGCGGTAGAACCAACTGAGGTTGGTGGGAAACGTGAGACATGCCAGGTCCCCTGAGCTGGTGGATTACACCTGAAATGGAATGGGAGAATTGAAGTGGTCGGAGGGGTCGTTGGCGGGAAGGAGAATGGCTGGATTTGTTCTGGGATGACAGGTTAGATTAGCCATTAGCTACTCTCAGAATAGGTCATTAGGAGAAACGACAGTCACAAGGTAGGACAGTCACCGGCTAGGTGAAGCACAAGCTGGGCCAAAGTGAGGCTGCGTCACCCACAGGGTAGGCCAGACACAAGTTCGGTCAGTCAGAGGCTCAGCCAGTCAGACTGTCAGGGGCTCACGCACAGTTTTGGACACTTGCAGATGAACCTCGAAGAAGGGTAAAGGTTCATTCATCAGGCGGAGGTGAAAGGGGGCGAGGGGAAGAGGAGGGGGGGAGGCAGATTAATGTTTCCATGTTAGAGTTGTACAGGGGATTTATTGGTGTTGCAAAACAGGGCGAGCATTACTTTCATCAATGTTTGCTCAGGCTTGGTCAACCACAAGGTAGGTCCGAGACACGTTAGGTCAGTCATAAGCTAGGATAGTCACTTGTGGGGTTACAAACAATTAGGTCAGACATACGCTAAGTTAGTCATGAGATGGGTCGCTTACAACCTAGGTCGGCCATAGGCCAGGCCTACCACACGCTAGATTAGTCACAAGCAGTGAGTCCAGGTTTGACTCGACTCAGCTAATTCAACTCGCCTCTTTGTCGAGTCCACTCAGTTCTTTTTTATCTGACTGGACACGAATCGAGTCATTTCGGCTAGGCCTAATAGGCCATGCATTGCCCGACTCGACTTGACATTTCCTGATCGCTGGGTTGGTGATTCGACACAGCACGACACACCTGCCTAGTCGAGTAGGTTTGTCATGACAACCCATTTGTCGCACTTACATGGGCCAAGCAAATCTAGTTCAGAAACAGGATTTAAATTTGTCAAGCTCGAGTTTTTTGCCTTATCTTGTCTTTTTCTTCAAGTCAATCTGTCCGACTTGAATTGCTTTCCTTTAGCGCCAACCGATCCGCATAAATGCTCTTGCTTCAGCTCCAAGCGGTTCACTTCAGGTCTTTCTCACCTTAGTGCCGCCAAGCAATCAGCTTGAGATTCTTTCTACTATCTTGGCACCGCCAAGTGATCGTTCCAGCTTGTAGTGATTCATGACAGAGGCGCAATTTCTCTCTACCCGTTTTAGCCCCAAGAAAACGCGCTCCTTTAAATGTGACTGGAACGCCGCATTTTCAGGTCGAGACAACGTTGACTCGCGAATTGACTCGCGAGTTGACTCGAGTCAGGGCCGACTCGACCCAAGAAGCCGAGTGAGGTTGATCGACTCGTTTTGTTCTGAGCTTGAGTCGCCTCGGCCTGTGCACGTGTCTAGCCTAGGCCTGTCAAATTAGGTCAATCAAGGGCAAAAACATTCACGGCTGGGTCACTTACAGAATAGGTTGGTCACAGGCTGGGTCTGTCACAGGCTGGGTCACGTTGGTCATAAGCCGAGGTGATGGGTCACAGGCTAGGTCGGTTAGAAGTAAGGTCAATGACAGTTCGGGTCAGTGACTCCATGAACGTTGACGAGACGAGGGACAGCAGCATGGAAAGAGGCCGGGGCAATGCTACCAGGGGCATGGATGTGTCAAGGAACACTGCTAGTTTCTTGGCGGTGTGAAAAAATCGCAAGGGACTCGTTTGTAACCTAAAAATGCACATTTACCTGCTCTGACAGAACTACGAGCACCACCGTAGGCTGTGAGCCTCAGGCTTCAAGGCTTTCAATGCAGAGGGACGACCAGGAAAACATAACGAAACCTACCTCGATTTAGGGTTTCTTAGACTGCCGCGTTTCCGTTGCTTATCGGCAATGACTACGTTTCACGAAACCTTCCCGCCGGTATCAGGGGCGTCTTTCAATATAGCCGCGAAGTTCGTGGCCAGTGATCGGCGGTTTAATGTCGGCCATGCCAAAATTATCGAGGCGGTATGAAAAGAAACCCCACTGTCACACACTCTACCCTGCTGGATCGACGCCAGGGCTGATAAGAACGCCTGAGCAGAGCTCGGCTAGTTTCTTAGTCAACATGGCGACCACAGAAGCAACAGTACTGAGGGCCTATTCAAATTTTGGATCAGCGAATCGGCTCAACATTGTTGTCGATTCGGTTCAGGCATGATGCGCAAAGTAAGGCAATTTGACGGTCTTCGCTGGTGAAAGCTGTTGCAATCGCGCCTGTGTAACACCTTGTTGCCGAAAACCAGAAATCCAAACTCAAACCAGCAAGAACGGGCCCTGAAGTGTCAAACCCTAATTTAGTGTGGACTGAGGAATATATGACACCCCCTAACACAGTTGACAGTGCGCTTCGGCAATCACTTCCACGAAATCAAACGTGACATGTGGCTAAGACGGTGACAGCTTCGCCTAGAGACATGTCTTTAATGTTCGATTCAGATCCTCAGCGGACTTGCTTCGACGAGAATTAGGGAACCACTGAGAAGCGAAGAGACAGCATGCACCAGCCAGGCTGACGTCACTATCAGCGATAGACAATCTGCGTCATCCCTCGTAGAATTTCGCGTCGCTGTCTCAAAGAAGCCTCTTAGTGCGGTTTCCAACAGACTGTTTCACTTCCACCTCCAAACTGTTGCTTGCCATCTTGGGGTCCACATCAGTAAACAACAGGGAGCGGAGAACGATGGAAAGAAGGGAGGGACGGATCGGACGCATAAAAGTCCGTTTTGTAGTTCTTGGACGGGTAGAGTGCCTTTCCCCTGACATGACCGTCGAGCAGGCGGCGAAGCTTACGGCAAACAATCATCAAAGTGATTCCTGCACAGACAGTGGATGGAAAGGGACTGGACGAAGAGAAGGGCAAGAGTGGTAAGGACGAAGGCAAGAAGAGGGTCGATGCGGCTACTGCTGCAACTGAAGCGAATCTTCATTCTTCTGCTGCTGCAGCTTCACATCCGGTTGACTCTTTCCATTGGGGTCATCGTAATTCCAGCAGCAATGAGCAGGAGCAGCAGAGAGGAAAAGAAGCAGAAGTAAAGCGTGATGGTAACAATTCAGATCACACGTCTAATGTCCCCCCAATTGGGCCCTGTGGCTCGGACTGCGCCTATCTCTATAAGCTGATCCTTGCGGGCAAGATAGGAGACGACGAAGAGGACCTGGATGCAGCGTGGCGCCAGCACGGTCTGACGGAACATCTGGCAGCGCTGAAGAAATGGGACCTCCAAATGCCAGAGGGTGGGAAGTTGAAGAACAAAAAGCACAGGCGATGAGAGAGAGCCGGGGCTCAGAAAGCACCCAAGAAGCTTCAGCTGATGAGCCGGGCGGACATGGTTCACTACTTGGACGTGAGAGGTTGGTGGGACGCGGGCGAGTGCGAGTGGTGCTTCGACCGCGCAGTGGCCTACCGGGCTGAGCATGCTCTTGGCATACTTGGCCCCAGGTCTAATTTCGTGCACCTGCACTTGGTTCTGCCTCCCTCCATACCTGCTGTACCCCCGAATCGACCAGACAAGGCTATTGTTGAGTACTCCGGGAGCGTAGCACTGCAGCGGCTAGGGGGGGAGAAGGGAGTCCCGCCTCGTGAGCAGTTCTTTTGGAAGTGTGAGTGGGCGCCTCACCTTTGCGTGCAAGCCATGCTGCTCGAGTGGATGCTGAGCCTCGTGTGGACGTGCTCATGGACCTGGGGAAAATCAGATCCAGCCTGCCCGCGATCCTGGGTTCCGCGTGTGCTGCTGGAAACCCCGCTGCTCCATCTGTCCCTGCTGGTTCTCCTGCTACCTGTGATGCTTCTCCAGCGTGGTCCTTCTGCTGGCGCTGCAGCAGCTGCTGGGCTGCCTACCGCCGTGCTGTCAGCTTCGCTACCTTCCTCGTGCTAGTGGCAAGATCACCCCGTGTTGCAACTCTATGGAAGGCCCGCATAGACACAGCCTCTGCAACATTGGCGGCTCTTGTGTCTGAGCTTGGGGTGTGCAGGCAGGAGGAGCAGGACTGCTTTGCTTCAACGCTGGTGCAGGTGCTGGGGGTGAAGGAGAGTGCTGATCTGCAGGAAGGGTTCGGCTTTTTCATGCAGCATCTTCTGCGTGACAGCGTGGAGAAGGTGCAGGCAGAGGGGAAGCGGGAGAAAGGGAAGAGAGCTTTCGCTTTGGGCAATGCGGGGCCAATTGCAACGGTTGCGATGAAGCTGATGGGAGGTGGCAGGGGAGTAGAGAGCATTGGAGGAGGCCGTACGGTGGGCCTGGGGGGAATTCTGCCGGCCCCAGGGGTTAGGGAGGATGGAGGAGACGGGAACGGCGGCAGTCAGGGGAGGGATGGAGGTGCGGGCAATGGGGCCAGAACTTTCAGGGATGTTGGATGGAGAGAGCATCTGAAGGGGCGTGAGTGGGAGAGGTATGTGGATGGCATGGCTTGGATTTTGGAGCATGGAGGGGGGGAAGGGAGGGGGCTCAGGTGCAGCCAATGCAGTGAGGGTTGCAGCAGCAGCACGAACGGTGGTGGCAGCAGCTGCAACAGCTGCTATGGCGGTGGCAGAAGCAGTAGCGTTGGTGGTAGCACCAGTAGTTTGGAAGGGAAAGATGTCCCGAAAGGCATGTATGTGAGTGGCATGGGTGCCACTGACTTTTCCATTGCTGTTGCTACAGTGTTCTCCAAGCCAGAGTTCCGTGAAGATCAGCCGTTCATTGTGGACGGGAACAATGCAATAAAGACAAAAATGGAAAGTGCAGCAATTCAGGAGGCTCGGAATAGGCTGAGATGGGAGATGAGTGAAAAAGGGAGAGTGGTTAGAGCTGTCAAAAACGGGCTTAGAATTGATACTATAGTAGTGAGCTCAAAGCTCTTTAAGTACATCCGGAATGAGCAAGGTAGGGATGAGGAGGGAATCAGGAGGCAATCCTAGGGAATCAAGGGTAATCTCAAGGCAATCTCCAATTGGTGGGTTGGAGATTGCTTGGATATTACATTTGGGTTTGGTTGGGATGTGGGTGTACACCCAACCAAACACAAAGTGCAAACTACACTAAACTAGGATATAAAAGTACAAGTACAAAATGTGAGATTGGGGCCTAACACCAACACCCCCCCTTAGGCGTCAATCGAACGCATGGCGGAGGAGGAGCGCAGAGCCCCATGGCGCCAAGGAGATGATGGTGGGGAACCTTTCCAAGGGGCTTGGTGAACAGGTCAGCCAGGTTGCAGTCAGACGCCACGTATTCCACCTTCAGCTGCTCTTGTTGCACAAGGTCACGAATGAAGAAGTGCCGAAGTTCAATATGCTTGGTGCGGGTGTGATACACAGGGTCTTGAGAAATGTGGATGGTACTCTGGTTGTCACACCAGAGGGTGGGGGCTGACTGAGGGAAGCCAAGCTCCTGGAGTAGGAAGGTGAGCCAACGGGCCTCTTGAGCAGCCATGGTGCCTGCGTAGAGCTCTGCCTCACAGGAGGAGAGGGAGACTGCAGACGACCTGGTGGAGCGCCAACTGACAGTTCCGCTCCCAAGGGTGAAGCAGTACCCCTGAGAGGAGCGTCGGTCGGTCTGGTCATCAGCCCAGGAGGAGTCTGTGTAGCCTTCCAGGCGAGGAGGGGAGAGCCCACCGAGTGTGAGAACGTGAGACTTGGTGCCCTTAAGATAGCGCAGCACCCGCTTTGCTGCCTTCCAATGAAGATCAGTGAAGCGACCAGGGGCCACGTAACGAGAGAGAACACTGACTGGGTAGGCCAAGTCCGGTCGGGTGCACATCATGGCGTACATGAGGGACCCAACAAGTTCCGGGTATGGCTCGGAGCAGGCCTCTGGTGTGGGTACAGCTGGAGCTGTGAGGAGGTGTTGCAGCGGCAGTGGGGTGGCAACAGGTGTGGACAGCTCCATTTCAAACCGCTTGAGCACATTGTCGATGTAGAACTCCTGGGAGAGTGAGATGGTGCGAGCCTTGCGATCACGAGTGATCTCCATTCCCAGGTAGTGCTTGAGGTCGCCGAGGTCTTTCATCTGGAGGGCCTTGCTCAGGGCTGCCTGGACTGAGGTCATTTGGGCCGAGTCCTTGGCAACGAGGATGAAATCATCCACGTAGACTAGGATGTAGAATGGCTCAGAATGACGGCGGATGAAGAGAGTCGGGTCAGCAGTTGAAGGGTGAAAGTCCAGGGAGAGGAGGACTTCTTTCACCTTGTTGTGCCATTCGCGAGGGGCTTGCTTAAGGCCGTAGACGGGGCGATTCAGCTTCCAGACAGTGTTGGGAGGGAATTCTCCTGGGAAGCCTTCTGGTCTGTCCATGAACACTGTCTCCTTGAGACGTCCTTGTAGGAAGGCGGAGGAGGCATCCATGGATTTGATCTCAAAGTCTTCTCGAGCTGCAACATCAATGAGCGTTCGAATGGTGGGAGGTTTGGATGTGGGGGAGAAGGTTAGGTCGAAGTCGCGGTACTGCTGCTGGGTGAAGCCCTTGGCTACGTAACGCGCTTTGAATACCGGTGCCTCGTCTGGGAGCTGTTTAACACGGAACAACCACTTGCCCCCGACGATGTTGACTCCTCGAGGTGGAGTCTCGTCGTCGAAGGAGTGGTTGCGAGTGAATGCTGCAATCTCCGCGTCCATGGCAGCACGCCATTCGGCCGCATGAGGGCCTGAGAGGGCCTCTTGGACGGTGAGAGGGATAGGGATGGTCGGGTTCTCCGCGAAGTTGAGGGAGGGTAAGCCAGTGATGTCGGGGAAGATGTGAGAGAGCTGAGGAATGACTGCATGGAGATCACACAGCTCCTCATGCCTGTCTTCGAGAAGGGTAGAGGGCACATCCCCCCCAGCAGGAGGAGGCGGTGTGATCGATGTGTATCGAAGAACCATTGCGAGCGGAAGAGCAGCGCGATGGGAGCGAGTGCCATGAGCCACCGGTGAGGAGGGTGGGGCAGGCGGTGTCGGGCAGGGTGACTTAGGAGGTTTGGGTGGGGGAATGGGCCGCCGGCGGTACGTGATCAGCTCGGGCGACTGCGGGAGAGCAGGTTCCTCTGTGGTGGGGGGAACCGGGGGAGGAGGTGGGGCCGGAGGGTGGGACCGCCGATGGTAGGTGATAGGTGCGCTCGGAGGGGGCGGCGTAGTTGGAAGTGAGGAGGGTGAGGGAGAGGGGGGAGGAGCTGCCGAAGACACCAGTGAGGCCGGGTCAGAGACCTCAGAGGGGGATGGTGCGATGGCAGGAGAGGGAGGAGGTGAGGGGGCAGGAGCAGGCGGGAGGTCGGGAGGCGCGTCAAAGTCTGCCCACACGAGGGAGGGTGGATCAGGGAGAGGGTCCCGTCCCGAACGGGAGTAGAATGGGCGGGTCTCATCAAACACAACGTCGCGGCTCCTGACCAACTGTTGAGTGGAGGGATTGAGGAAGAGGTAGTCAGGTGAGTCGGCGTTGTGCCCAAGGTAGATGCACGTCTGAGTCTTGGGACCGAGCTTGCCACCGTTCTGCCGTCGAGCTTGAGGGTTGAGGAGGACATAGGCGGTGCATCCCCAAACGCGAAGAGAGCGAGCAGTGGGTGTTTTCCCGAGCCAGAGTGTGGTAGGAGTGGTGTCGGGAAGATGCGGGTGGGGGTAAAGATTGTAGAGGAGGGCAGCATGGTAGAGGGCGTATCCCCAGAGAGAGTGTGGGGCATTGGAGTGGCTGAGGAGGCACCGAGTGATTTGCACCAGGGTGTGATTGCGGCTTTCGGCGATGCCGTTCTGCTGCGGGCTGTCTGGGAGGGTGAAGTTTTGCTGGATGCCTTCGGAGGAGCAGAAGGCTTTGAGCTTGTCGTTGCAGAATTCACCCCCCCCATCCGAGTGAAGGCGCTTGACCTTGCGGTCAAAGGTGGTCTGTGCCTGCTTGACCCACGCGATGATGACCTCTGGAGCCTCAGCCTTAGTATGGAGGAGGTGAACAGAGACGTAGCGGGAGTGGTCATCCACGATAACAAGGAAGTAGCGATAGCCACCGCGCGCGAGAACAGGGGCAGGTCCCCAGACGTCCATGTGCACGAGGTCCAGTGGGGCCGCTGCGACTGTGGGTGAGGCAGGATGGGGCTGTTGGCGTAGTTTGCTCTTGGTGCAGTCAAGGCACGGGGGAGCTGGTGAGTCAGGTGGTGGAGGAAGTGCGGCTGGCAGGCCAAGGAGAAGTTTCTTGGAGGCCATGTCAGCAAGAGTGCGAAAATTTGGGTGCCCGAGTCGATTGTGATAGAGGATGGTCGGGTTGGAGAGGGTGCGACATGAGCATGGTGTGATAGTGGCTTGTGCTTGGGTGGTTGACACCTGTGGGAGAGGGACGCGTAGCGTGTAGGGGCCGTTGCTATTGAGGGTGTAGCGCGCAAGGGTTTTGTTGGTGCGTGGGTTGATGATGTCGCAATAGTTCTCGTTCTCGGGGAAGATGGTGTGTAGCCCCGCTTCCTGGATTTCCGTTTGGGCAACTAGATTGTGACGAAGTGAAGGCACGCACATGCCAGTGACAGTGCCGGATGGGAAGGCGGGGCATGGGACTGTGGAGGTACCCTTGGCGAGGGTGGTGAAGCTTGAGTCAGCTCCTAAGAGAGGGATAGGTGTTGGGTAAGGTTTGAAGGAGAGAGTCTCCTTGAGCACAGTGTGAGTGGCCCCGCTGTCGAGTGTGAACTCGATGTATTGTGGTGCTTGTGATGAGCCGATGTACTGTGAGGTAGCTTCATTAATCATGGCAGTGCCAGGGAACAACAGGTTGATACGCACATAAGAAGAAGCAGCATCACTAGTACTAGCCGAAGCGGGGTCCTGGGCCTCAACTAGGTTGGCCTTACGAGAGCGCATCCAATTCGGCGGCTTCTTGTCAACTCCGTGGATGGCGTACCACTCGTCGTCTTTCTTCTTGAAGCACGTAGCAAGGGGGTGGTTAGTGCCATCACACACTTGTCCCTTGCGGTTGCCGTACTTGACGACGTAGGGGCACGGAGGAAAGCGGTTGCGCTGGAAGGGCGTCGAGGCGAGAGCCGCTGCGACACTTGCTTGAGGCATGGGAGCGCGGATAGCGTATGCCTTGGCCTGAGCAGTGGAATCTTTCTCAGCAGAGAGGAGTGCGGTGGAGACCTTAGCAAATGTGAGGTCTTCTGCTGAGAGTGTGAGGAGCATCTTCTTCGTGACTTCATAAGCCGAGGTGAGTCCAACAAGAAGGGCGGCTGCAGGGGCTTGCTCGGGGAAGACTATACCCAGCTCCTTGAGTTCGCCGTGGATGGTCTGCACCTTGGCAATGTAGTCGGCCATTCCCGAGCAGTCCTCAAGGCGGACCTGAAACATGCTAGGGATGAGAATGGCCACGCCGACCGCCGTCTTGTTCATGAACCGATCCTGGAGGTACTTCCAGATGGCGTTGGAGGTAGGGTAGTTATGGAACGTGTTGACAAGTTCGGGAGGGGTGGAGGCGATGAAGACGCTGATGATGGCAGCATCGGCCTTCTCCCATTTTCGGTACTTCTCAACAGCCTCCTCGGTACTTCTTCACGTCAGTATCACTTGAAGATTCGGTCGGTTCACGGGGAAGAGTGGGCTGTTTCCCCTTGCCATGGTTGAGGAGGACGTCCTTGAGGTCAAGGCCCTGCACGTCACGGCTCAGGAGGTGCTTGTCAACTCCGTAGCTCCACGCCTTGAAGTTGGAGCTAGAGCCATCGGCTTCAAGGCGGAGCGGGGTGATGGGGTTCGCCATGGTGGAAGACGAGAAAGCCATGGTGGAGACCCCTTAACTTCTCGCGCGGAGCGCCGCTCTTAAGTCACCGATAGGAACTTGAGGTTTGGGGTCTCCAAAGGAGATTTTGAAGAACCGGAGGTTTAGGGTTTACGAAAGAGAATATTGAGGTTTAGGGTTCCTGAAGGAGAATGTGACTGAGACGCCAATTTAGTGTCAACTACCTACTAATCCTATTCCCACACACCCCCCCACACACCACCCTCAGCTTCGCGGCTACGCTGCTGCTCGGCTTCGCGGCTACACGGCTGCTCGGCTTCGCGGCTACGCTGCTGCTCGGCTGCGTTGCTGCACCTGTTCAGCTGCGGGAAAGAGGGGGGATGGGGGTAGGAGTGCAGATGCGGGGCGACGGGCGGCAGCCCGAAGATGACGCTGCGGGGCGACGGGCGGCGGCCCGACGAGAAGCTGCAGGGCGACGGGCCGCAGCCCGACGAGAAGCTGCATGGCGACGGGCGGCAGTCCGACGAGAAGCTGCAGGGCGACGGGCGGCGGCCCGACGAGGAGAAGAAGTGACGAGAGTGACGAATTGATGAAAACGAGTGTTAGGTTAGAGCGCCGACGATGCGCTTACCAGAGAAGTTTCCGTCGATGGTGACAGGAAGATGTGGCGGGAGAAATTCCGCCGATGAATGTCGCGAATCAACGGCGACGAGATTGGCAATGGCTTCCCGAGGTTTGCGGGACAAGTATCCGCAGAGATGAGAGGATCACGATCCGCGTATGCGGTTGAGGTGCTCTGATACCATGTCAAAAACGGGCTTAGAATTGATACTATAGTAGTGAGCTCAAAGCTCTTTAAGTACATCCGGAATGAGCAAGGTAGGGATGAGGAGGGAATCAGGAGGCAATCCTAGGGAATCAAGGGTAATCTCAAGGCAATCTCCAATTGGTGGGTTGGAGATTGCTTGGATATTACATTTGGGTTTGGTTGGGATGTGGGTGTACACCCAACCAAACACAAAGTGCAAACTACACTAAACTAGGATATAAAAGTACAAGTACAAAATGTGAGATTGGGGCCTAACACCAACAAGAGCGTCTGGAGCAAGATGCACTGACCGAGCACCAGTTTCAGTAGCGGCTGAAACTAGGGATTTTGATGCCACCGGCGCACCTGGAATTAGCAGTGCTCCTACCTCAACGATTTCAGGTGCTACCAATTCTTCTACTGCCTCGAGTTCCTCGTCTGTTGCCAAGGGTTTTTCTGCCACTGCATCTCGAGTACCTCAACTGGGTGCCATTCTCGCCCCTGGGCTCGTGCCTGTCAACACAAACCACTTTGTAGCTGCCGTAACTTATCGAGTCGGTTGCATCTTGTAGTGGGTCCGAATCTACGGCTCGGATTTCATATTTGAGAAACGCTCCTTCAAGGACAGCCCACAAGGAAAGGTCCTGCCCATGCGTCATCCACTTCGGGACCTTTGAAGCTTGCTTCTTAGGCTTGGCGCCGTCCCCAAGCCTCTTGAGGAAAGCGCCTTTTCCATGGAGTGTGAGGAGTGGCCCCAAGGCGAGGAGTGGCTGCTACCAATTTTCCTGAAGATCCAAGTGCGCGTTTCTTTGGTCTGGGTATTGTGGAGGAGAGTGGGATGGGAGAGGAGGAGGGTGAAGCGACTAAGGATGGTGAGGTGGCAGAGGAGGGTGAGCCGAGGCCATCTGAGCAGGCACAAAGAGCAGCGGGGACTGGCAGGGCTGGGAGGGGAAGATGAAGGAGGAGGAGATCTGGGAGGGGGGGTCGCAGCAGGAACGATGAAATGGTCACAGGGCATGGGGAGGGGCAAGGCGATTTTCAAGATGCACCCACGTCCTCATTGCCCACAGACCCGTCCTCTGCAGACTCGTTGATGCCATGCCCATCATTCGCTGCAGGGCTGATGTGGACTTTGTGCTGGACTCTCTTGGTCGTGTGATCTCGCCCCCAGAGTGCAGCCAGTGCATGGAGTGCCTGAGCGCCTTTGTCCAACACATCTCCTGTTGCGCTCTCATTGCCAATTTCGCCTATCGCCCCATTGAAGCCCTTTTCAACCGCTTTCTCGCGGCCTTTCCCCCCCAGGCCCCTGAGTTTGACCATTTGCTGAAGGCGCTGCTGCTGCGGTCGCCCCTCAATGTTGAGCAGATGAAATCAATAAATGTTTCAGCGGCTGCAGGCATGAGGAGGGGTGTGAGTGGGATGCGCCAAAGGGCAGAGCAGGTGCTTTGGCTACCTACAAATTCAGGCATGAGGGAGAGCGTGATGCGTCACAAGGTGCAAGAGATGCCTGTCTTCTTCTTGCTAGCCGTTGCCTTGTATCATGCCAAGGCCATAACCAGACTCATTGGCCCTGAGGAGGAAGTTGGTGAGAGTGGGGCGGAAGAGGATTTGGGCAATGATAAGGAGGGAGATGGGGATGTGTGGCAGGAGGTGCGATCATGGTGTTTCTGTATGTTTACTGCCTGGCGGTCAAACACGAAGCTTCTTAGGCCGGGATTGGATGAGACGTGCGGCAGAGGCAGCAGCGATGAGCAACCGAGAAAGTGGGGAGTTGACATTTGGAACCAGGCTGCAAATTCGAGGTTACGTGAAGACATGCCGCCGGGTCAAGGAGGGTTTGCCAGTGGCTGTGGCAGCAGCAGCAGCAGCAGCAGCGAGGACAGCAGCTTTAGGAGTAGCAGCATGAGAAGTAGTCACACAAGCATGGGAAACGGCAACAGCAGCGGCGGCGGCAGCGGTGGTGGTGGTGGAGAAGGAGGCTGCCGTATCAACAGCGAGGGAAATGGAGAAATGGAGGAGGTGCCTGCTTATTTGAAGCCATGGCCAGGGGGAATCAATCTGTTGGCATGTCTGCGAGAGATGCTGCTGGGGGAGCCGTGCTACCGCCCTGCCTCTCCTGGTACCCCTTCTTCCCTTGCTGCTCCAGCCACCGGAGTTTCACAAAACAGTGCATCCGTTTCAGCCACTAAAGGCTCTGGTCCCTTCGCTGGTGGGGAACGTGCGTGCGGTGTTGCAGGGTGTGGGATAGTGGAGGGTGGTGGTGTGAAGCTGAGAAGCTGTGGTGGGTGTGGAAAGGTGGCGTATTGCAGCAGAGAGTGCCAAAAGGCGCACTGGCCCTCCCACAAGCTCACTTGCCCTGGCAGGACCAATGGCAAGAAGATTGGAAAGGATGAGAGCAAGGATGGCAGCGGCAACAGTGGCACGACGATTAGCAAGGTGAGTGGGCAAGGTGGGTAGGCAAGGTGGGGAGGCAAGGTGGTAAAGCAAGGTGGGGAAGAAAGGCGGGGAGGCAAGGTGGGGAGGCAAGTTGGGTGGGCAAGGTGGGGAGGCGAGGTGGGTAGGTTAGGTGAGTGGCGAGGTGAGTATTCAAGGTCAGCGGTGGGGTGTAAGACATGGACCCACTGATGCATTGTGCCCTTTGCCAGTTTGGTGTGTCAACATGGATGCAAGCAACGAGGGCATGGGAAAGCCATCTCTTTGCATGTACTTGGGATGCGGGTTGCTGTGCATGCTGCCGATCACTCACCTTGTGCAACAGTAGCTGGCGGAGGGCCATACTATATGCCTTGCTCAGCTTTGTTCGAGGAAAACTATACAGTGACTTTCATTCCTCACTCTTTTCCCTTCTGACATTTTCCAAGTTTTTTCTCTCACGCTTTCCCGCTTCTTGCACTTGCACCCTTAACCTCAATTGCTCTCTACAGGTCTAAGAGTGTGTATTTACGATCGTGTGCCTGAAATGTTCGGGGCTTGCACAACTTGCTACTGTGGGGCGGAAGTGCAAGAGCACAATGTTAACTGCCGTTCAGTGCAGTGCCACTCCAATGGAGGCCGACACTTCATTCGGATCGAACACGAGATCCCCTTCTAGTATTAGTTCAGACATGAAGGCTTATTCTAGATCATTCGAATCTGGTGTTGGGATGTACAAGGCGAGTCCTGTTTCCAGTGTAGGTTCTCTTTCGCCTTCCATTCTGTGGCCACTTCCAAGCGCTGGCTACAATTGATAGATGCAATACGCATGCATGCCATTTCTCGGGAGTTGTGCCAGCTGGTGTTTTTTGTCTCGGCGAATTGGGCCGACATGATCCGTGACTTACCATATTAGTCCTCTACCTTGGTGCTCCTTCTCACCTCTATGTTTAGCTCAGAAATGGCCCGTCTGACAGTTGCCACAGAGGATGCTGAAAAGAACGACATACGGTACTTGAGCTATCAGTCGGTACTTGAGTGTAGGAATTGGAGCCTTAACGACCTTCCAAGCAAACTCAGAATGATGCTCTCGTTGGAGAGATGCCTACTACTCAGCACATACCATGCATTCGACCTGGTGAGGCTACCGCTCTAGGTGCTAGAGTGTCTGCTACCCCAGGTGCTGGTGAGGCTGGTGCTCTAGGTGCTGGTGTGTCTACGTCCCCTGTTAGTGAGTCGACTGAGGCACTGCACACCTTTACACTAGACTCAGGGGCCTCCCGCTGTTTCTTTCGTGACCGCACGGCTCTTGAGCAGCTTGCTCGGCCCGTTGCATTCTCTCTCGCTGACCCCTCTGGGGGTCCAGTCCTTGCGACCTCCTCCACTGTCCTCCCCTGTCCGGCCGTCCCGTCGGGCACACTGTCCGGTCTCTTCCTCCCCTCGTTTGTGATGTGGGTAGGGCATAGAAATGCTCCTCTGAAATGTCTCACATTAATCTCCATTCTCCTGTCCCTCTTTCTGATTGGTCTTAACAGCTTTGGTGTGGTGATGCTGGTGGTCATCTCGGCACGCAAGGCCGTGCATATGAGCGAGACCAGCCAGATCAGTCTGAAGCAATGGGTGAGCACAGATGCTTGCTACAGACTTACTGTCTGAATATTTTATGCAAAAACTGCACAACTACTGCTCAATACTCCACTCATAAGTATGTAGTTCACTGAACAATCACGCATATGTCCACATGGCTCAACCCAACAGATCACACCATTCGTGGAGTCAGATACTGTTACAGTCTTCAATGACCCCTACTTGGACGCACCAGATGACTTGGTGCTGCGCTGGGCTCGCCTTGCCCTCTCCTGCACCACCATGCCTGCGGCCTCCCGCCCCTCCATGAATCAAGTGCTGGGGGAGCTGGTGAAGTTGAATCAGGAAGCTTCTGGAGCACATGAGAGCCATGTGGGCGAGGCCAAATCTCGCATGGACACGGAGCTTGGGAGTTCCATTGGCTCCTCCAGCTTCACTGCTGAAATGGCCCGTGCAGAGCAAGGGGTCATGCCAAGTGGCTTTTCCACATAATCAAGTTTGTCTTCACGTGCACCTTGCTAGATTACCCAGAGCTTCTGGTTTGTGCCATACCAAAACATACGGTATATGGGGAAATATGGCCTGTTGAACAGATAAATGGAATGGATGCTGGTAGAATCTTTGGTGATCAGGTAAATGGAACGAGAAAATTGGCCTTCGTACATAAAAAGTGGGAGCTACAGCTTTGGCTTGTGCATGGGCACATATTTTGTGTTTATGACATATTTTGAATGTTGCATACATAATATTTGCCACTAGAATAGCTCTATTCATAACGAATATGGGTTTCTCAAATGGAAATCATAAGCCATTTTGTGGCAGCAACAAGCGTTCTACTCGTAATGAAGTACACTACATGATATAGCAACTCTTTCTCCATCCCACATATCTAACATGCAAACATCACATCCTCCCTCCAGGCAGTATCTACCTCTTTTCAGTGGGTTGTCATCTGTAACACGTGGGCAAGAAAGGGTTTGATTTGATCCCTTCATGGCGCTATCATTTGCAATGATATGTCAGATGCTGTAGGGCAAGAGCCGTATGGGAGGGATGAATCGGGGTTGGGAAGTGTGATATGACTTGTTAAGACGATGATGAGCAGTGCGCTGAGCAGATACTTCATGAACCCCATGGCTGACTCATCCACCCATGGCTGACTGACCAACCCATGGCAAACTGACTGACCCATGGCTAACTGACTGACCCATGGCTAACTGACTGACCCATGGCTGACTGACTGACCCATGGCTGATTGACTGACCCATCGCTAACTGACTCACCCGGCTGACTGACTGAACCGTGACTGACTGACTGACCCATGGTTGACTCACTGACCCATGGCTGACTGACCGACCTGTGGCTGACTGACTGCCCCTGGCTGATTGACTGACCCATGGCTGATTGACTGACCCAAGGCTAATTGACTGACCCAAGGCTGATTGACTGACCCAAGGCTGATTGACTGACCCATGGCTGATTGACTGACCCATGGCTGATTGACTGACCCATGGCTGATTGACTGACCCATGGCTGATTGACTGACCCATGGCTGATTGACTGACCCAAGGCTGATTGACTGACCCAAGGCTGATTGACCCATGGCTGACCGACCGACCCATGGGATGACTGACCACAACCTGATGACTGCAACCGCCTTGTTGACAGGATCCTGTCCAAAACAAAACGCCGGACTTATCCACTCTGAGACGAAGCCCGATGCTGGAAGGAGTGGCTGCGCTTAAACCCCACTTGACGAGAAGAGCCATCAAGCTGAACCGCCTGCTCGGCCTTGCATACTGAAAGACGCCTTGAAGGAGGGCTTAAAACACGTCCGTGAGCTGCCCTTGTTGAAGCCATGCCTGTGCTCTCACCCCTTCTTGCCGTGAGCTGCCCTTGTTGAAGCCATGCCTGTGCTCTCACCCCCTCTTGCCGTGAGCTGCCCTTGTTGAAGCCATGCCTGTGCTCTCACCCCTTCTTGCCGTGAGCTGCCCTTGTTGAAGCCATGCCTGTGCTCTCACCCCTTCTTGCCGTGAGCTGCCCTTGTTGAAGCCATGCCTGTGCTCTCACCCCTTCTTGCCGTGAGCTGCCCTTGTTGAAGCCATGCCTGTGCTCTCACCCCTTCTTGCCGTGAGCTGCCCTTGTTGAAGCCATGCCTGTGCTCTCACCCCTTCTTGCCGTGAGCTGCCCTTGTTGAAGCCATGCCTGTGCTCTCACCCCTTCTTGCCGTGAGCTTCCCTTGTTGAAGCCATGCCTGTGCTCTCACCCCTTCTTGCCGTGAGCTGCCCTTGTTGAAGCCATGCCTGTGCTCTCAACCCTTCTTGCCGTGAGCTGCCCTTGTTGAAGCCATGCCTGTGCTCTCACCCCTTCTTGCCGTGAGCTGCCCTTGTTGAAGCCATGCCTGTGCTCTCACCCCTTCTTGCCGTGAGCTGCCCTTGTTGAAGCCATGCCTGTGCTCTCACCCCACCTTGCTGAAACCGTACCTACCCACCCATCTCACTGTATGACTATCCCAGCCTGACCACAACCATTCGTCTGTGGCTGACTGCTGCAAGGTGGCTGGCTGGCAGGGCGGGCTGGCTGACCAGAACCTTTTTTCTGCGGCTGGCTGCTGCAAGGGGGCTGTTTCATCAACTTGGCTTGTCAAGTACGTTTTCAGCGCAGCTGGCTTGTGAATTCGACCATCAATGCAGCAGCCTGGCCTTTTGTTTTTTATAAGGATCATGGCGGACATTCGGTCAGTTAGTCAGCCATGGGTCAGTCAATCAGCAATGAGTCAGTTAATCAGCCATAAGTCAGTCAGTCAGTCAGTCAGTCAGCCATTGATAAGTCATGGGTCAGTCAGGAGTCAGCCATAATCAGGTGGCCATGGGTCAGTCAGTCAGACATGCGTCAGTCAATCATACATGGGTCAGTCAGTCAGCCATGAGTCAGTCAGTCAGCCATAGGTCAATCAGTCAGGCATCGATCATTCAATCAGCCATGGGTCAGTCAGTCAGCCATGGGTCAGGCAGTCATGGGTCAATCCGTGAGGCATCGGTCGGTTTGTCATGTGTCAGTCAATCAGCAGCCATGGTTCAGTCAGTCAGCCATGGGTCAAACAGTCAGCCATAGATCAGTCAGTCATAAGTCAGTCAATCAGCCATGGTTCATTCAGTCAACCACTGGTTAGTCAGTCAGCGTCAGCCATGGGTCAGTCAGTCAGCCATGGTTCAGTCAGTCAGCTATGGGTCAGTCAGTCAGCGTCAGCCATAGGTCAGTCAGTCAGCATTCGGTCAGTCAGTCAGCCAGAAAATCAGCCAGTCATGGGTCAGTAAGTCAGCCATCGGTTAGCCAATCAGCCATGGGTCAGTCAGTCAGCCATTGGTAAGTCATGGGTCAGTCAGTCAGCCATAGATCCGTCAGTCATGGATCAGTCAGTCAGCCATGGGTCAGTCATTCAGCCACAGGTCAGTCAGTTAGTCATAAGTCAGTCAGTCAACCATGGGTCAGTCAGTCGTCAGCCATCGGTCAGTCAGTCATGGATCAGTCAGTCAGCCATGGGTCAGCCAGTCAGCCATTGGTAAGTCTGTCATGGGTCAGTCAGTCAGCCACGGGTCAGTCAGTCAGCCATTGGTAAGTCTGTCATGGGTCAATCAGTCAGCCATGGGTCAGTCAGTCAGCCATCGGTCTCAGAGTATGTGGCGGTGTCGCGGAGAGAGGCGTGGGGGCTGCTGCAGGCGCTCACGCAGCAGCTGGTGGCTCGCATGGAGGCTGTCGCTCGTGGGGCTCCACCTGGCGCTCCTCTATTACTGAATGGGGCAGCGGCGCTGCCTGGAGCAACAGCAGTACCTCGAGCAGTGACCACAGCAGCAGAAGCTGGGGCAGCGGCAGAAGGGGCGGCAGTAGGAGCTGGGGTAGCTACAGCTGGAGCAGGTTCGTTAGAGGACGCGGGACTAGCGGGAAGGGAATCACAGCAGCTGGTAGAGCCTGAGATTGAAGGAGGCTCTGGGAAAGACGAGCAGCTGTGTGGCACACCCTTAAAGGGGAGAACATTCGCGACGCCTGTAGAAGTGTTCTGTCCTCCACTGGAGTCCCTCACCCTCGATAGCATTCAGTTCGCCTCCACTTGCGACCTTACGCTCCCCACCAACAGCAGTACCAGTGTATTCTGTACCCAAAGCGGGTGCAGGTTTGGCATGGTTTGGCACAACACTGATCGGTGGGGCAGCAGGGGTGGACGAGGAAGCAGGGGTGGAAGGGGCAGCAGGGGTGGTAGGGGCAGCAGAGGTGGAAGGGGCAGCAGGGGAGACAGGGCAGTAGCACGGCTCCCCCAGCAGCATCTCTCGCAGACATGCCACCAAATTCACTCCCCCGGGCCACGCTTTCAAATAAGCCGCCTCCTCCCCCTCCTTGCCCGTCCCATCATCTTCTATTCTCCCTTGGTTTCTCCTGTTTCTCCCAGAGCTGTCGCTGCGGCTGCTGCTCCCACTGGCACCATCGGAAGGCCCACAATCATCCTGCATGTCTTCACAGAACCTGGGTATGGCAGCCCTTCTCCACAACTCATGCCCCTTAGCACTCGCAAACCCCTCTCCCTCTTTCCATCCCAACTGGCTCGCCCCTTGCTGCCCTTGCACCTGTCTCTCATACCTCAGCCTCCAGCTTCATGCCGCCCTGCCATGCAAGCTCCACCGCTAGGCACCACATTTGCACCTCTTCCCACACCCTCCCATCATCTTCCTTTCCGTCTCGCAGCCTGTGTAGGAACTTCAGGTCCGTGATTCCGAGGACGGGGGCAGCCCAGTTTAGAGCCACAGTCAGCAGGAAGAGAACAGGAAGCTGTTCCGTTCGAGCCTGCACCGCAGGCGATCTTAGATAGCCAGGCGCATTGGCAGCGAGAGGCACACCCATACAAGCAGCGAGTCATTCGAATTCGGGAGGGAGGGGAGAGAAGATGGATACAAAGCGGTTGAAAAGGGTGGTGACAGGTCGGTAGGCATAGTTAGTGATGAGCATGAGGAAGGGGATGGGACGGCTGTAGACCCCAAGGCACTCATTGCACTGCGCACAGGCAGGTGGCCTGACCAGAAACCCGGCAAACTCCACCAGAAATTCGGCATCGGCAGTGCAGCGAACGATGGGGAATTTCCTCTGCACTAGCGGCAGCAGCGATGTGAGCAGCTTGCGTAGCAGCCCCTCATCGTCACTCGTCCTCAATCCTTCAACTCTAACTTCTTCCCCACGCCCACTGCTCCTTTCCCCCCGCTTGCCCCTCCCTTTGTCTCCTCCTTGCCCCCTCACAGTCACAGATGACCTTTGTCCGCCCTTCTTTCCTGCCCCACGCTCCCCTGCTGTTCCCCTTGCTTCCTCCACAATTCCAAGGCGGAAGAATCTCGCACTGGGGTCGTCAGGAAGCTTCACAACAGTGTCCTCGCCCCGAGGCCACTCCTCCCACTCCAAGGGGAATCTGCCTTGGTCCAGAGGCATGCGCAACAATCAGAAGGGCGACC